ACTTTATTTTATTAATTGAAATTAACATATGAAATAATTTTATAATTATCTGCCAATTTGAATTAACGAAACGAGGTATCAAATAATTTTTAAATTTTTTAAAAATTTGTAAATTTGATCTATGCATTAGAAACTTTAAATTCAATGGTTTGATTATTGAAATTTAATATAGAATATGAGTTAGTAAAAGAAATAAGTTTAAATAGACTTCCTCATAGAGTAAACGAATTCATTCTCCCTTATATATAAAATGAGTGCTAGTAACACTTTTTAATGCACTCATTCTTATTAATTATAATTTATTAAAAATTACAAAATGAATAGAAAAAATTATTAAATAGAATATAGATCCTATAAAATTTTATATTTTTTTAATAAATTTCAACCAATAAAAAAGAGTATCTTGCTAGTATTTCTCTATAAAAGAATTAACAATGACATTAATTGATTTGTTTCTTTTTTATACAATTGATCCCTTTAGGATGTGTTTGGTTTCATGTCAAATATGTTTAAAATCAAATTAATTACATAAAAAACAATCAAAATTATGTTTGTTGTATGTTTAATTATTAACAAAATTAATTTTAAGATATCAAAATTCACTTGAATCACTTCCACTTAAGAGTAATTATTAATAATTTCTTCATAAAATAAAATCAAGTTGAGTTTTGCTTGCCTAGATTTTTAATTACACACTTGAAATCAACTTTTGATAACAAATTTTCAAATAATATTCAATATGTTTTTTTTTCATTCAAACGAAAATTACATTACTTTTAACTTATAATTACTCAAAATCAATTATAAAAATTAACATTGATTCAAAATTAATTATAGCGACACATATCCAAAAATATACTTAGAATCTGTTCGAATATAAATTACAAACTTTTTAGAGAGTTTTTTTTATTAAAAATATTTTTAATAAAAAAAACTCTTAAAAATACTTCTAAAATTATTTCTAAACATTGTCTTATTATTCTTTAAAAAAACATCAAGTGTTCACTCATTTAGTTTTTAAGTCCAGAGTTATTAATAGTGAATTTAGTTCTATTGCTTATGAATTTACTTTTACAGATTTTACTGAGGAATAGAGTAATGCTGTTGATTTTGTAGTGCTTTGTCATAATCAAGTCTATTGGCAATTCTTGATCAGGTTACTAATGTACAAAACCCACTAATTGTGTTAGTGTAGGGTATGGTTCAATCCACACGTTAAGTATCATCCATCACTAATTATTTTTAATGAAAACATAATCTTTAAATTTAATATCCTAATCCTATTGTTAAACGCTACTCCCACATTTTATCTTCATCTTCATTAATGCAAAGCCACAAATCATTCCATTATCTTCCCTTGAAAAGTCATTGTCATCATTTCCACAATTTTCCGTCAGTCGCCATTTGGAAGTGTCAGAGATTACATGTTTGAAGAGCACAGATGTGGGATGAACATAATTAGTCCACAATTTTACCAGGTTTGATCACTCCCCACTTGTTTTATGTGCCAACAATGTATGTTTCTGTCCTGAGCACCAGAATAATCGAGTTTTCTTCACTTGGTATGTGTTGTCATGTCATCTAAGTTTGTAGTGGACAATTGAGAGACATGATAAAAGATTCTGTTATTTTTTCTTTTATTGCAAGTACCTATTATAGTGGTTGTGCAATATTTGTGTTACTTTTTCTTTTGGTTGCTAAACGGTCAATTGAGAAAAACATTTAATTAATTTGTTCTTTTGAATATCAGACATAGTCAGGTGTCTACTGTGTTTGAAATTTGGTAGAGACTGTTACATGTCTGGGACATAATATACCAAGAGTGAGTCTTATAATTATGGGTTTCCCATTTTGTATGATAAGATCTCTTGGAAAGGTAACCATCGTTGCCCAATAATGTACTTTATCATTTTTTGAGCTACATCTGGACTCCACATTTTAAAACTTTATCACTCACCTTTATTCGTTCCTTTTCACCAAACTTTTTTCTTTAGTCATGCTATTAAGTTATGTGAATGTATTGTTATTCTTGCAACGTTGTAGTATTATTGCAAGGTTGTATTATGGTGTTAGAATGCTTTTAGTTTTTTTCAATCTTAATCAATTTAACCTATTTTGCTGTCAATACCAGACATAGTCAGGTGTCTGCCGTGTTTGTAAATTAGGCAGAGACTGTTACATGTCTGGGACATAATATCCTTAGAGTGAGTCTGATAACAATGGGGTTTCCCATGTTGTTCGCCAACATCTCTTGGAAAGGTGTCTATCGTTGCCCAGTAATATATGCCTTGTTATTACTTGAGCTACATCTGGATTCCACATTGCAAAACCTGTTTTCCTCACTCAACTTTGTTCCTTTCATCCATTTTTGTCTACATTAGTCATGCTATAAGAATTTATGAATGTTTTGATATACAGATAAGCTATATTTATCTTTTTATGATGGTTGAATATTTGGTAGTTTTTTCCCCCTTTGCTACTAAAGAAATATTAGAGAAAAACAATTCTGTACTTTTTTGGAATGATGGGAGATACTGTTACATGTCTGGAACATAATATACTGAGAACGAGTCTGATAGTTATGGGTTTTCCATTTTGTATGATAACAGTCTGGGAAAGGTGTCCATTTGCCCAACAATATACTGTTATTATTTGAGCTACATCTGGAGTCCACATCATATAATCTTGGTCACCTTTGTTCCTTTCAAAAAAAAATAAAATTTCTGCATTAGTCTTGCTATTAGACTTTATGTGGTTGAGCCGTTGAGGACTATTGCAAGTTCCTATTATTGTGGTTGACAACTTGTTAGTTTTTTCCTCGTGCAGTTAAACAAATTATAGAGGAAAACGATAATAGAAAAAGCCAGACATAGTCAGGTTCCTGCCTTGTTTGTAAATTTGGTAGAGACTGTTACATGTCTGGGACATGATATACGAAGAGTGAGTCTGATAGACATGGGTTTCCCATGTAAAAGGACAACATCTCTTGTAAAGGTGTTCATCGTTGCCCAATAATCTACTTTGTTATTATTTGAGCTACATCTGGACTCCACATCACTTAATATTGCTGACATTTAACAAAAATTTTCTTCATTAGTCATGCTATTAGAATTTATGATAGTATTGATATACACAAACAATAATTATTGCAAGTTCCTATATTGTGGTCAAATACTTGCTAGTTTTTTCCCGTGCAGCTAAAACAAATAATAGAGGAAAACAATTCTTGAAAAATTCAGACATAGTCAGGTATCTGCCTTTGTTAATATGGTAGAAACTGTTACATGTCTGGGACACAATATACTGAGAGTGAGTGTGATAACATGGGTTTCCCATGTTTGATGACAATCTCTTGGAAAGGTGTTCATCGTTGCCCAATAATATGCTGTTATTATTTGAGCTACATCTGGACTCCACATCATATATTTTGCTTCTGGTTACCTAAGTTTTTCTGCATTTGTCATGCTATTAGATTTTATGATAGTATTAATATACACAACCAATAATTATTGCAGGTTTCTATTACTGTGGTTGAATACTTGATAGTTTTTTTTCCCGTTGCAGCTAAACAAATAAAGGAAAACAATTTCTGTAAAATCCAGACATAGTCAGGTGTCTGCCTTGTTTGTAAATTTGGTAGAGACTGTTACATGTCTGGGACATAATATACTGAGAGTGAATCTGATATGCATGGGTTTCCCATGTTTGATGGTAACATCTCTTGGAAAGGTGTTCATCGTTGCCCAATAATATACCTTATTATTTGAGCTACATCTGGACTCCACATTGCAAAATCTCTGCCCCTCTTCTGCATTGGTCGTGAAACATGCTATTAAAATTTATGTATGTATTGAAATATAGAAAATTTAATTATTGCAAGCCCCTTATTATAGTAGTTGAATTCCTGTTAGTTTTTTTAATTTTTTTTCCTTTGCTGTCTAACGAATAATAAAGGATAACATTTCATTAATTTTTGAAAAAAGCATAGTCAGGTGTCCGGTACTTTTAAAAACCCTAAACTCTAAACTTAGAGTGAAGTCCTATAAATATGGGTTTTCCATTTTCTCTGATAAATTTCTTGGAATTTTGTCTATCGTTGGCTAATAATATACTTGTTATTAATTGAGCTACGTCTGGACTTTCCGTTACAAAACATCTGCGCCTTCTACCTTCTACCCGTAGTAATTGCCAAAGGAGGAATTTATTAGTTGCAAGTTGGAGCCTACATTGTATACATAAACATTTCTCATTATCGCAATTTCCTGTAATCGTGGCTTAATAGTTTTCTTGTAGCTAAACAATTGAGTTTTTTTTTCTTCATTTTTTTATATGTATGTTGATTTTATTTTTCATCTTGGCAGTTTAACATATTATGATACATCAATGTAATTGTGAATGTCACGTTCATCATGCAATCTGTGACATAGTAACCAAAGAGCCTCGATTAAATAGTCGAGCCTATCCATTTTAGCATACGAAAAAAGTTCAATTCATTTTATTCTATGAAAATATAGTCATGTTTCTGCTTATTTTTATGGTTGATTCTATACGTGCCTGCAATGAATCTATGGGCAGGCTCTTAACGTCGTCATTCTATAAGATTGTTTCTGGAGTTTGTCGTCATTAATTTAAATTTGTCAGCCTGTGATCAATGGAAAAAGTATGTCATGTCCATGGAAATGAATGGAACTATTAGTCACGGTTTGAACTCTTTGGTGAAGTTCACAAAAGAGGACCAAATGATGGCTTGGAATTTTTTCTAGCGAACCTGAATAATATAACGCTACTAAGTTCGTGTTTGAGGAAGTTGTTAAAGTGCAATGTATTAAAGTTTTATAAATTGATTATGTTTAGGAATGTGGTTGGGATCATTTGTTCCTTTTAGGTAGGTCAACCGTTTTGTGCGCTGTGGTTTGAAATATTTCAAGCTTTTTTGGGTTATTTTATTCGTAATAAAGTTATAAAGCACAATGCACCTGTCTATAATTAAGGTTAAATAGTTAAAAATAGAGCCAATGATGGCTGCCATTTTCTCCAAATATATGAACAATAAATGAGTAATGCATTGTACAAAAATGAAGGGAGAAAGTTATAAGCAAACATATTGAACTTTGGACTAGAAAGCTCAAATTAACATTCTCGCTGATTAAGAGTTGAATATCTCTAATATGGTAATAACAATGATCATTATCAAACATCGAAAATTTTGAAGGAGTCTATCACTGTTTGCAGCCTGTCTTTCATCTTTCCCCATCTTCTCTCGTTTGCTCCTGTCGTCAAGGTGTAAAACTTACCTACAATAGATAATTATAATATAAGTGAAAACATTAATAATAATCTTAAGTTCAGAACTGACTTCCGAAATGTGTTCATAAGTATGTAATTCACCTATCTCATTTGTTATGTAATATTTATTTATCTAAAATCAAACGTTCTTTTAATAACAAAAAAATATCTAAACTTGGATAAAATAAAACACATTTTTAAATTTGAAAGAGATGTAAGGCACATTGTTGATTTTACGTAAGTTATAATTTAGTTATTAAATTTGAAAGAAGAAATGGTGAATTTACAAACTTCATCGTGCACTTAAAATATTCAAAAGGTTGAAACCATACCATTGCCGATGGAGACTGTGCTGAGAGCATGACGAGTATAGTTTGGAGCCTGAGCAATGAACTCAAATTGATAGTATAATTTTCCTTCAATATCTTGCTGGGAAGTATTACACAGATATTCCATGATCAGTGTCTTTGCAGTTATATACACATACTCACAAAAGAACCAGAGATCAGGACATTGAATATGGAGGTACATGATGCGATATTCATCAATATTTCCTATTTGACAACAGTAAGAAATGAAAAATTAAGAAAAAGAGGAGTTTTAGCATACACTTTCTATCATATTTCTTCTAACATTTTTCATTATTTGTGTAAAACTTTTTCAGAATTACAAAATTGTGATCGGGTTATTAAATATTAGTGAAAACTAAGCCACTCCGTGCCTCTATGGTGTTTTTCTTTGAATATATACATATTAGTGGAGATAGTGTGCAGTCGTCATCAATTTCAAGAATAAAACTTCTATACAAAAAAATATTTTATCTTTTATTAATTATTATCATATGATTCATACAACTTTTGTTAAAGATTAAAATTGTCAAAAATAATGTGTACTTTAAAACAAAGAATCACCATTATATATATGTATAGATGAAGTAAGCTCACAGTAAAGTGATTAAAAAAGTGCATACTAACATTTCTCTTAAACACTTATCATTCTTCATTAATATTTCTAAGTGGTTGTTTTTCAGAAGTACTTCTAAGAAAAAAAAAATATGAAGAAAAATTAAAATAAACTTCTGAATAAACTAAAACTAACTTATGCATAAGTTAAAAATAAGAGTTTGGGGAATCAAATAAAAGAGAACTTTTAGAATTAGCTTATAATTAAGCTAATTTTAGCTTGTAAAAAAGTTTATTTCATTTTTTCTTCCTACTTTTCTCTTTTATAAGTGTTTTTATTACATTTACTATTTGAAGGCAAATTCCCTTTAGCTAAGTTGTCAGAATAAGATTGGGATGGGAGACAGTGAGGGTGAGACTATAATGCTAGTATTGTGATTGGTAAAATCCCATCGTTAGCATAATACCCCATCTTTCCAAAAGTCATCTTGCATAAAATTTCACTGAGGAGACAAACAGACTGTTTTGTTTCGTGATAAAGTAACAGGAACATATAAGTATGAATATGACATCAAAATGTTCAATGGTGGTATAGGAACAATAATATTTTACTCCTTCAAGTAAATATATCCTGAGTAAAGCTAGAGGCTCAAAATGAAAAAAGATTAGCATAATATAATTGCATGATGGTTGCCAAACACAGATATGGCTGCTGAACAAATATCAATACATCAAATGTTAATAGAGTCTAAATAACATAAAAAATAATCACACTACAAAACAAGGAAAAGAGATGTAAAACATCAAACCTCTTTTGCAGCTACTATCTTGGTTTTCTGGTTTGGAGGGGCCAAAACCTTTTTTATCAGAGTTTGGGCAACCTGCAATCAAATTAAGATGAAGAATAACTCCTCTTCCTTTCTAAAAACAATGCAGCTGGTGCTCATATAAACCTAACCTCTTCAGGGGATCCAAATTCTCTAATATCTTGTTTGCCAGTAGGTATCAAATTTACACTGACACTCTCCAGTGGTTCAATGACATCTTTGAACACCTTATCTTGACCTTCAATTACAACTTCCTGCCCACTCCCCATGATAAAAAATATAAAAAAAATATAAAAAAAAGGATGAACAAGCTAACCTTAACTTGCATTTTTGCCTTAGAGCCTATTTGGATACAAGATAGAAGTGTTTATGAGAGTTTCTCTACTGAAAAAATACTCCGACTTCTGGTTAAGAAGCTCTCAAAAATACTTTTAAACTTGTATCCAAATAGACTCCTCAACTAATTATAGATATAAAAGTGACGCAGGTGCAGACAGTGTATAACAATGTTTACCTGCCACCCAAAAGGGTAGAGAAATGAATATCCATCTTTCTTGTCCAAAACGGGCAAAAATCCTTTCTTATTTTCTGCAGCAACTGAGCCATATCAAGGGTATATCCTCAGGATGTCAGGCATCAGTATTTAGGAAACTCATAGGTGTCATAAACAGCATTTGTACCCTCCTGATCAAGCACAATTCAGTAACTTGGAAAATTTAACTGCTTAAAATGCAAACTTACAAGAGTAGGAGTGTTGGTTGAGAAGAAAAACTAATGGGGAAGCAGTTCCAATGGCGATCACTTGGCGCCTTCCTGATCTATCTGTCGAAGCATAGCAAATGATTCAAAACAAATTGATAACGTCCCGGTTAATGATAGCAGTTCAATGACAGATAACGCTCCAATAAAGTTGTTCTCAACAAGTATAGGGATTGCTCATTGAAACTGTTTAGATTTCACCACGAATAAAATGTAATTCACATAGTTAGGTTTCATCTTAAAACTAATTGAAATTTGAAAGTAAGTGAAGTTGTCCAACAAGCAAGCCATGAGACTTCCAAACATCTCACTCCACATATGTTTGCTGGAACAAGTAACGACTACCAAAATAAGTGGTCCACAAAGGTAGGTTATAGGCTTTGGTATCATGTTATAATTTTTTTAATCTATCAGAACGAACACAATACCAAGGAGTTTACAAAAACTCAAGCCCACACTAAACCAACTGAACTACACTCTCTGGTACCACCCTGGGAATTATGTGAAATTTTTCAACACATTAAGTGTGCCACACACAACACCCCAACTAAACAGCTGCTTAGTATTTTCACTCCTCATCTCATTCCCAAGCATGCTTTTTGGTAGTATTGTTTCTTGAAAGCACAAATAGCCTAAATGATTCATACATGGTTTACATTATTATACTTGTGAGGGTTAATGTTTGATTTTGTTAGGCACCGAAAGTTCACACACGCATATCTCCACATTGGTGTTATATTGCTCACTTCGAGTTTAAATTCTCATGGTTTTGCTTTTGGTCATTTTTTAAAAGGATTCATACCAATAGAGACTATCTGTACTTTATAAACCTTTATTTCTCGTCATGAAATAATGTAGGACTTTGTTTGTACTCCAACAAACTTCTCCTTAAACAAAAGACCATGGTTTAACCTCCCCTTTAGCATAAATTATTTTTCCATCTACAAGTATTCAATGATGATCCTTAGAATTTTGGTCACACTTGTTAGCTCTAAATATTTGCACCGCCATTAACTCACATTAACAGGACACACCACCTGACCTCCACATTGTTAGGAAAACTTTCAAAACAAGGAATTACACACTCTGATATCATTGTTGGATCAGGGAGTTAAACATGAGGAACACTTCATCCATGGATAGTGAGTAAATCACACAAGTGAACCTGACACCACAATATAATTCAAAACCTTAAGGTATCAGGTAGGTGGGTCTTTTTCACTTATATACTATATTCAATATGTCCAACTCTAACCGATGTGGGTCTCACTTCACACTTGAATTCCAACACTCTCCGTCAAGTGTAAGTCTCTTCCACATGGTCATGCCCCCCCTCAACAAGAAGTTTTTTTCGTCCACGAGTATTCAATGGTAGCCTATTTGCACTATTGTTAGCACACTTAAACAGGACACTACCCTCCACATTCTAAGAAGACTTAATCTTGGATCTCCTGTTAATTCTATTATATGTGATCCCACTCTTAGACCAATCACCAATTCTATTGGTCAATACTCGTCTGAGTTGGTCACATAGTCAAACTATCGACTCTCACTATTGGGTTAGGGAGTTAAACACCGATGAACACTTTAGAACACTTCATCCATGGGTGGTAAGTAAACCACACAAGTGATCTTGAAATTACAACATAACTTAAAATCTTAAGGCATTAAGCAGGTGAGTCTTTCTCACTTATATACTACTCAACATGTCCAATCCTAACAGATGTGAGACTTACTTCACATTTGACCTCCAACAGATTTAGACAAGAGATGAGCATTGCACAATGCATCTTCATCGGAAGCTACTTTGCCTACATTGATAGATACACAAGTTCAATGAGCTCTTGGAAGACACTTAGTATCCTTTGGATTCCAAAACTCAAATTGCAGCAAGGTAGTCCCTCCTAAAATACAAAACCTAGTAAACATATATAGTATACAAGTTCTACTAACAAATAACAACACAAGCAAAGTCACCAACACACATAACAAAACTTCTTAGTTCACATGTGACAATGACAGCTGCGAATTCCAACTTCAGGAGACCCAAAAGAAAAAAGAAGCAACCTTGAGGAGTTAAACAAGCAGAGGATTCTTGGGCAGCTTTGACAATGAAGGAAATGGCATCTCTTCGAGATGAACGAGAAGTGACATGCTTCTGTAACATTGACATTCCCATATTTCAGAAACAGGGAAGAAGGAATAAGATTACAAGTTAAATGTACCTGAGCAAAAGTGTTGTGGAGGAAGGTTCGGTGAAGCGTTGGGTAATTCTGCAGGGACGTCATTGTTGTATGAGATTGCAAAGAAAACGAAACGAAGAAGAAGTGATAGTTGTTGTATTGTATGTGGTGGAGGACTCACTTTTCGATAATTCCACTTATCCATACCAATCCACTCCTTCTTTCCTATTTGTCCTCACATCTTCATATATTTTAGTTAATAGTATATATAAATCAAATTATTAAATCACTATGTTCGGAGTTGAAAATCAAACATTTTTTATTCAAACTTTGTTACACTCGATATAATTGTTACTAATCAAAGAAATAATATCAACCTAATTTTATCATGAATTAATTTTTATATTTTAGTTTTTTTTTTATCATTTTAAACTGATTATTAAGAATATGCATAATACTCCATTAACTTAACTAATTTTTTCTTATATATACGTTACTATTAAAAAAGTAGATATGATATCACTAAGAATTAAAAGTACTTTTTTTAATGAATATTTAATTATGACCGGTTATTATTGTCGTTTTATATTTTACCTTAATATTAATACATTATTTATAACCAAACGTTTCAAAAAGTAAAAATATTTCATATCGAACGTTTCCTTAAAAAAAGTATTTCACAATTCACATACTATTTCAGCTATTTAAAAAGAAATATCTCTCGACTATCACAAATTATCCTTTATTATATATGTATTCTTAACTTTTTTAATTAAGATAAAATTTTATATCTCTATTTAAATTATTCATTATAAATTTAAAATATAATTTAAATAATTAAAAAGTATTTTTCATGTACGAAATTAATATTTTTATGATAATATTATGAATGCAAGTATTCAGTAGTTTTTTTAATATATATTTTTTACCATAAAACCTATTGATTATTTTTAATGAGATTTTTACTTTTAATTTTTTTATAAAATTAAAATAATAATTTATTATATAAATGTGGACTGTGTGTATTTATTCTTATATCTTATATAGCTGTGAGAGGATTTAGTTTTTTTTTTTTAATAACTATAATTAAAAAAGTTATTTATAAAAAGTTGTTAAAAATCTTAATTTAAAAACAGCATTACTAAATTAATGAAAGAGAGAGAAAAAAAAATAACAAGAAAAAAATTGAGTTCATGATCCTCTCTATTTCTTTTTCCCTTTTTTTTTCATATGAAGATTTATTGTGTCATCATTTATACAGTCAAATAGTGCATACTTTAATTAAAGAATTAGATATAAATGATTAATGTGTTAAATTTAAAGTTGAATTGTTCAAATAATATTTAAATTTGATCTTTAACAAAAATAATTTTTTATTTAATTTTATTTATCTTTCTACTGAACTAGATTAATATAAGACGAAATCTTAAAATATTGATAAAAAAACAAACAATTAGACCAAATTAATTTAAGACACAGCCATATATACTGATATAAAAGCAAAATATGATAGACTTTACTCGGCTTTTATTTAAAACATGTTTTTGATACAATTTTAGAAAAGATTTTGAAAGCTTTTTTTACTGAATTTTTTTTTTTTTAGTAAAGAAACTCTTGAACAACATGTATATTTTATATCTAAAAATACTCTTATTTTTTTATAAAAATAAAATAGCAATTGACCCGGTATGAATATGGTCAAATAATTTAGACTTTCATTTCCTTTTTGAATTCTGGGTCGTACTTTAGAAACACCAATTGGACTTTGACTTTTATTTTTAGTTTCTTACATTAAACAAAACAAACTTCGTCTATCATATAAAGGCCATTGTTTTCGCACTCTCCTATTTCCCCATTTCCCATTTTATTTTCATTAACACAAATATTTAATGTCATGCAAATATATTCCTGCCTCGTTTTAATCTTTATAAATAAATATTAGTTTTATATTTTAAAATTTTCTTAATATTATTTTTTAGTTCCTACTATTAATTATAGTTACTTTATTACTAACATGTCTAACAAAATAAAGAATTTTAAGATAATTAACATAACAAATAATATTTTAAGTTAAGATAACTTTATTATTTTAGGTATATAATTTAATTAAGTAGTGCATTGATTAATTTATACAGATAAAATAATTAATATTATAAAAAAATTTAATATATTATGAACAATAATTTTGTTGCTTTTAATATTTTTTTTATTTTTAATTTATTAATTTATTTCAAGATAATAGTTGATGCTTTGATAGTACGTAAATTAATTATACACTATTATTTAATTACAACTTATCATTTATGATAAATTGCTGACTTCCATAATAAACAAATAAAAAAATCATATTAATAACGATATCTAATTGATTAGTAATGTAAGATTATTTTATAGTATTCATGATCATTAAACTCGTATACTTTTAACATTAAATATTATAATTTATTTAGATACTTATAATATACTTTTAATTAAGAAATTTGAGTTGGAGTTGCTCCTACCTCCCATCTTCTCTTATTAGTCTAAAGATAAGTAAATAAGAAGTGAAGTGATAGTATAGTATAGAGTATAAGTAGCTTTCTTGCACTACTTCCATCATTCATGCGCGTAGCTTGCCAAATTCTAAAAAACTATAAGAAGAAAATTGGTGACATTTGAGAGTGCTTGATCTACGAATTGGCCTAGTCATGGGTACCAAAAAAGTCAATAGGGCTCTTGAACGCCATCAATCACTTAACCAGAAACACAATTGAGCACTCTTGCACTAGCTTTTTCATTTTGCACATGTTCTCAATTATTTTATTTATTTAATTGTGCTTTTTGTGAATCATTTTTCATATTTTTAAGAATTTTTCCATTTAACTTTCAAAATTACAGATTTTACCACACACTTCAAGTTTCACACATTTTGAACAATATTAATTGGTCATCTAACACTATTACATTGATGATTGTTGATATATATATATTTCAATTAGATTATCGCTTTTAAGAAAATTAGTTAATTTAGTTAGGAGTATTACATTTGACAATAATTTAAATAACTTTTTCAAAATTACCTTTAACATTTTTTAAATTGACTTTTTCTTTTTCTACTTAATTATTTCTCACCTAATTAATTAATATTTTGAAGGGGATGTTTATGTGTTTATTTATCTTCTCAAATTCTAATAAAAGAAAGAGTTTTTATCCAATTAATTCCAAACATTTGTTCTCTTTTTGTTTTAAAAAAAATTAATTAAATAAGTGTAATTTAGAGAATATATAATATAATTTGAGCTATCAAATTAAGTCTAGTCTGATGGGTTGATCCAGCCAACTCGTTAACAAAGTTAGATTGAACCTTAATAAATATGACTTAAATAAAATTAAATCATTTTGGCTTAGCATGCACAACCTTATAAACCAACATTAATAAAAATAAAAACATAGTTTAAAATATAATATATTGAAATATAAGTTTTGAGTTGTAGTATTTTTCTTTTTTTTTTGGTCAATTTTGGAAAAGAAATTATAGAAGAAATAAAAAGTAAAATAAGTTAAATTTCACTCTTGAATTTATAATGACTTGTCATGATCATTACACTCAATAGATCAACCACTAGTGGTAGAAACAACTATTTTCCTAGGATTAATATAGTCACAATACCTAAATATATGTGTCACGATAATAACTATATGACTCTCTCTTTCTCTCTCTCTCTCTCTCTCTCTCTCTCTCTCTCTCTATATATATATATATTCCAACCGTTAGATTAAAAGTTCATATCTCTTAGATCATATATACAAAAATTTATATTAATCTAAGATGATTTGATATTTCATTCTTATAAAAAAATTTGACGTAATATATTTATTTAAAAATATACTAAAATATGAAACTTTGATTACCTTTAAGTTATTGTTCAATTTTAACAAAAATTGACATATATGATCTAAGATATATGAACTTTCAATCTAACAGTTAGATTTACAAAATTCACATTTAATATAAAGTTATTGAACGGTATTACACCGCTCAATAACTTTATATTAAATGAGAATTTTTTATATTAATTTAAGATGATTTGATACTTCATTTTTTTAAAAAAAATTGACGTAATATATTTATTTAAAAATATACTAAGTAACTAAACCTATTGAACAAATTTATCTTTTTACACCTGCTAAATTAACATTCAAATTGGAATTTTAATTCCTACAACATGATTTTTATATGCTATCATTTAAATTAAGAAAGTCCAATACCACCGTCGAGTATAACATAACTTGACCATGACCTATTTAATAAATTTAAATATATAATTGATGCATTTAAGAATTAGAAAAAGATTTTATAATAAGGAATAAATAAAAAAGTAAAAAATATTATATATATAAACGAAGAAGATTGTGTACAATTTTAAAGTTTACTTGAGAAAATCCACAAAAAATATGAAAGATGGATTGAGAAAGTGCAATTAAATTTCTTTCCCTTTGTTCGTCCTCTACTTTTTCTTTCTCAATATTATCCCTGGTTTCCTTTTTTAAATTCCCACCTGTATTCCATCTCTCCACTTCATCTCATCCCGCAAAATGCAAGAACTTTCATGATTTCATTGACAAATAAGAAGTCTTCTAGAAACTTTTAGAAACAGAAAGTAAACTTGAATCAACTAACTTTTCATTTCTTTTTATTATTAATAATAACTTTCTCTTTTTCTTTTATTTATTTATTTTTTACATTTTACGTGTTTATCTTTATTTTATGGATATTTTTTTTTCATGTAATAAAATTAAAAAAACCTTCTCTACTTATTGTACAAACATAAATTTACCGACGGTGGGCAACTGTCATGAGATAAAAATTATTTTAATAATTAAAACTAAATAAATTTCACAATTTTTTTAGTTCGTTTCTGAAATATCTATCGCTGATAGCAGTGATTAATCTTCTCATTAAGTTGGAGGCACCTCAAAAGGTGCAATAGCTGACCCCAAAATTTAACGCGACTGCATACACAAAACAAGATTCAAACCGCTAACATTGTTTAAGCGTGAATCAACCACTACCGTTGAACAAATAAATTTCACAGTTAACAAATAAAAAATTACGGTTTACATAATTTTTAAGATAATTATGATCAAAGTCAATAAACTTATTATCTCTATTATTTGATATATCTTTGTTTTATTATGAGTTTCTTAATGAATTTTTTAATCATTTTCT